TTATTAGGTTACTCTGCAGTTGAACTAGTGCAAGATCCGGTTGAAGGAACCAGAAATATGAGAAAAATGCTCAAATCTTGGCTCAGAGGAAGTCGATCTCACGTCCATTCAAAGCCGTGCGAATGAACTTGTAAACCCCCTTGTTTAACCGGCAGTCAGTCGTATATAAAAATTTAGCCCTAGAGTGAGTTAAGTGATGTGCTTAAACCAGGCGTAATTCTGGCTTTGTGAACCTTCATGAGTATATCTTAGACGAAAGGGATCAATCAGAAATTGACAGACGCGTTTTAATTCTAAAACCCCGTATCGCGAACAGGATATTTGCACTTGCAGAAGTCAGTGATGTCCGCATTGCCTTTACTCTCTTGAGACTTGACAGAGCCAGGTCACGACAGTCGAGACAAACTTATAGAACTAACATCAACTTTCTGAAAATATTATATGGTTTAAAAAAAGTAAAGTTATCCCTGTGCTTAATTCATCAAGCGTCACGCTATGAGGACGTGTGAGGAAGTGCAAGTATAGCTTCACCATTCTTGACCTTGGCACTAGGTGCAGGTGAATGGTCAGTTTCACGCCCTGGCCGCTTTACTCCCTGGGAAAGTGCTTACGGTACCCATTGGTTAGGAGGTTGGGTGGTCCGCATAGTCGTTATGGACGCTGTGGACTCTCCTACTGAGAACCGAACCCCAGCCATCCAGCCCGTAGCCCATCGCTATACCGATTCACGTTATTTATAGTTCACTTTTCAAATACTGTGATTCAAGAAATTCTTCAGACTTACTGTCTAATACGTCGACCTGACTAATACATATACCTCCGTCAGATTCGACTATTATTCGCAATATTACATATAAGTAAAATTAGAGTTATTTTTTTTCAGTTTCCCACAAATTCTACTGATTTTCACCAATCCCGTTAAGAGCGACGACTCTGGTCAGCCTATTCGAACTCCATCTCTGTTGGCTGCTTCATTAATTTAATCCAAACCAGTTACCATAAATCGACGACTAAAAGAAAGAGGAAGAAGATAAAACGTCTGGTACAATGGTTTTATTTCTTCTGTTTCCATTTCCTTTCACCTTTATTCCTTAAGTTAACAAATTTTGAGCTCAAATTTCTACTGTAGTCTTTTAGGATATATGTATTCCATTGTCATAATTGTCAAGATCTCCCTCTGTCTCAGGAGATGGCGAACGCTCTAGAAAAAGTCTCGCTTGACCACTGAGAGCCGTGTTGATGGGAACGTGAGACTCTGCACTACTGGTTTCCAAACTTTCCCAGTTTGAGCTTCCCTTGATGTGAAAAGCAACATTCCCCCAGTCTCTAAAAAGTCATTTACAGTTCGATTTAATCATCAAAGAATGTAGTTCCTGATGATCCTTAAATTATACCTACGAAGCAGCAGGCCTACTTTTGCGCTATATTGTATTTGTAATTTAACGTGGCCTTCTATTGTTAATTTATATGTATTATAAACAGAAAATCAGCACTTTCGGCATTAAATTTCACGCTTCGTCAGAGGAACATGTTTGCTACTTTCGGGAATGTTGCTATAGACAAAGTCGTTGAAGAAGTCCAACAATACAGCGGCGGTAATCCCTATTGTAGTATGTAGATCCGTTGCTGGGCAACGACCCGCGAGATAAATATACAAGAGCCGTTGCTAAGTGACGGTTTCGCAAAGAAACATGTTCCCACGGAAACGACTGAACTACAAAAATTACGAACGATATTTTGTGTGTGGCCCGTGGCGAGATATTATGGTCGGGACAAGATGGGAGCTGCAATGAATCAGTGAGTGAAGAGAAGAGCGGAAGGTTGGTGTGAGATGGCTGCCAGCCAGGGAGTTAGATTGTTGGAGCAATGAGTAAGTCGTGGTATATTCGCCAGCCGGTAAGGACGTAGGCAGAGGACATTGTTAGGATGCGTTATCAGGATACGACTAAGGAAGACGTAGAACACTTTATGTATACTGCAGTTTTAATGATCTTCAGAGTGTGTAAACCAGTGAGGCTGTTATAGTTACTTATAATTACGAGTTGTGTGTATAAATGGTCAGTGAATCCAATTACCAAACGAATCCCGTCTATAATCACTTAATCATGTGACAATATTGTACTCTTCCGGAGTATGACGCCATGTGGTACTCTGATATGTGGGTACCAATATTTCATAAGAAAACACTGCTTCTATCTTCAGGGCTGAAGTATCCTACCAGACAATTACGCGGTATCATCGAGACGACCAAAATGTGGATACTGAAGTAGATTGTTGTAGATACTATGAAGATACGAGCTGTGGAGGCAGTCACGTGGTTCAGGGCGGTGACGCTGAGGCACAGGGATGAGCCGACGGCTTCCATAACAACATTGAGCGTTTAGGTTGTCTGCACTAGGACGAACCTTACCGTAATTATATACAAAACAAAAAACAAACAAACTCCATGATTTTAGTCCGCAAGCAAAGTATACCGACTGAGCGACCGCCGCTTGTCGGCGAAATTTAATGCCAACTTTATGGATAGAGGATGTCGCGGGGTCAGCGCAACGAATCCCCACAGCCGTTAATTTCGGTTTTCTAGACCGGAGGCGCTATTTCCTTCAAATAGATCTTCAATTATCACGAGGCTGAGTGGACCCCGTTCCAGACCCACTACTTCTCAGAAAAGATCTGGTAGCGCCGGGAATCGAATTCGGATCTCTGGATCTGTAACCAAGAACGCTGAGCACTAGACCACAGAGGCGGTTGTAGTTATATATAGTGTAACAAAAACCGCTGGAAATTTTAGGATGTCGGTCCTCTTTTCCACTTCGGCCCCAAGCCCGACAAACACATTCTGAAGGACTTTGTGTTTATGATCCGTGGCCAGGTTCCGTTGGCTGGCTCCCTGACAAGTCATGTGTGTCTGTGCAGGCCGTGTAGTGGCATCTGACGACCGCTGCGAACACTTGGCATTCCGACCACGTGCAGTTCACACGGTGTGATCCTCACTGATCCCGTACCTCGCTCCTTATGTACAAATATGCATGACTAGACCCGTGATTTCTGCCGCGCTTTATGGCTTCAAACTGATAGGAAGATGAATGTTTCCTTCTGATAGAATTATGTTCAAGAGCAAGAATTCCACAATGAAAATCATTTGTGGACGTTGGGAACGATTTTTATGTCCTTAATTCGTTTTCCAATTCTCCCGCTCCACCTACTGCGAAACTTAACTAGATACACTACTGTCCCAAACAGTTCAGTAATGCTGTTGTAGATATCTACTCGCACCATTGATTTATAACTAGCGCTACTGAGCAGAATCATTCTTGGTAACTAGGGCTCAGCTAGTCAATAAACTCTCCGCATCATCCCTTTTTTTTTTTTCCTTGGCAATACAGCCCCAGTGGGCCTAGGCCTACCTCCATGAACTTCTCCGTTCACTTCGGTTTTTCTCGATCTTACATATTCGGTAGGACTCCTTGGGCGGGTGATCAGCTCGTCGCAAGGCCTCTACCTGTACACAAACACAGAAAAACGCACACACACAAACTAAACATCCATGCCCTTAGTGGGATTGAAACCCACGATCCCGGCTTCCGAGCGAGCGGAGACTGTACATGCCCTCCGCCGCTTCTAGAACCCTATTATTCACTACTACTTTTCATAGGAGCCTGACAATGGTCCCCCCTTCCTGAGAAAATTAATTTTATTAAGTCTTATAGACTGGACTTTTGAGCGAAGCGAGGAATCGCTCGTAGAACAAGAGCGAACATTTTCCGAAAGAACGTAATCTATGCTTGAGCATTTCATTAGCCCCAGACACTCGTGTGTTCGCCCCATATTTCAGTTAATATTATATAGCACTAATATAGAGATTTTCATGAAATACTATATGAACAAATTGCCTTTGAAGGCAGTCACATTTGGTACTGTTCTACACTCTGTATAACGGTGTCAGTGTAGTTGCCATGCGGAATTGTGAGGTGCCGACAGGCCTGCCACTCTTCAGTGTAATCTGTATCTCACTTACCATTATGAAAAGTGTGCAGCCTTTCTATTCATAATCTGTGAGTGTCTTCGCATCTGCCTACACGTATATACAGCCCTCTGTTGGACCTTGACCGCTTTTTCAGTTCTTGATTTTTTACACTGTCAGTAGGACTCCTTGGACGGGAGATCAGCCCGTCGCAAGGCCGCTACCTACGCACAGAACAACAGACACAGAATAAACGAACATAAACGGCCATGCCTCAAGTGAGATTCGAACCCACGATCCCAGTGTTTGAGCGGACGACGACAGTTCATGCCTTAGACCGCGCGGCCACTGTGATCGGCATTTTCTGACCCTATTCAACATAATATTGCTCCTGTAACGTAAACAGCGTCGTTAAGTAATATACGAGTTAGTATGAATGTTGTAAATTAGGTTCTGTGATACGAAGATAATGCGTTGTTCTCTGCTTGTCCAGGGCAGGGCAGGGCCAGTGTATGTCTGCGGGGGTATGGGTGTCTGAGGTTAAGGTCACATGATCGTACACCGAAGCCGCGAATTCGAATCTTCAGTCGCAGCGTTTGCTACTCCGCAGTGCTCTCTGCCAGGGCGAAATGGAACTTCCGTACCATCAGAGCATAATTAGAAGCCATAGATGTCCCTGTACCTAAGCACAATGTCTTGGACATTGCTAATGGAGATCATACTCCAGTCATTCTTGTCTTCATTACTAGATAGATGTGAATGGTTAGCTTCACGCTCTGGTTGCGTTACTTGCCGTAACGCAACCAGAGCATGTGTTTTGCATTGATGTATTTGAAAACGAGATAAATACACCACGCTATAAAACTCTTCTAGGTTTAGGCTTGATTGGACACCACTGCAAATTTTGGTTATGATTACTCTTGATCTCTTGATGGGTTGTTCTTGCAGTTCCACGGACAACGAATTCACCAGCATTTGACATTTTGTATGTGTGTGACAGGTCATGCATGTTTATGATCCGTGGCGGTTATAGTTTTGGATTCTGTGGTTTGGGACGGTGTAGGGCAGTGTAGGTAGCTTTGGTTGTTTTGTGTGATTGCTTAACTTAGATCTGTAGGAAGTTAATAATTGTAAGTAAATAATGTATGGGTTTGAAAAAAAGTGTTATGTATAACTCTTGTGCTTACGATTGGTAGGATTTATGTTTAGATTTAGGTGCGATTAGAAGAACATGTTACATATCCCAGGAGTTGAGTTTGCTTGTATATATGCTTTTATATATAAAAGTTCTGTGAATGTGAGTTCGAGTTTAGGTTTGAGGTGGCCTAGGAGGTTTTTATAGTCTTTATTTCTTTTTCAACTAGTATTTCCGTGATATTTTATGGGCGAATGTGAACTGCCATTTTCTGTGGCACCCTTTTACATTATTTTGCAATTAATAATTTTCGTATATAATTGACCATTTATTGTAAACCCCTACGACAAAGTGCTAATTACACTGTGGTCATAGCTTTATATTACGTATCCAGCAATCGGGGTTACGTGCGATTAACATACGGAACTTAATGATGCCAAATAAGCCGCATAAGATAGTAGATGCCAAATAAGCCGTATAAGATAGTGTAGCGCTTATGCAATTAGTAGCACATGTTTGTAGGAAGCCTGTTTTATCTGCAGTTTGCGATATGTTCGGGAACTATTAAATGTGGGTGCACATTTTGGATTCTCTCCTGTGAGACCAACACAACACTGAGGTTGTTTCATTCTTTTAAATCTTTTAAACAATTCGTTCATTTATTTTATTTAGCGTTCATAGTTGTTGCAACAGTAACACTTGAACAAGTTACGTCATTAATACATCATTCTTGAAGTTCTTTTGCCCAGGTGCCTAAAGGATTAGAATTTGCCAACAATAGATAATTACTGTTGACATGGTTAAACCTACAATTAAAATATAACATGCTATCAAAAAGAGATAAATAATCAGATACAATACATAAATGCCTACCATACTAGTTTTGTTAACCTTATCAGTTTATCGAGAGAATTTTAAGAGCATTACAATAAATCAGAAGTCCTACATATGACCATGTCAGTCACCGATCACATTAAGATACTGCCATCTGTTATCTATTTCAGTTCTTGAATAAGAGGTTTAGCTATGCTTACTACTGTCCCTCTAAAAGAAACTAATACAATTTATAAACTGGATGATCTAATAAAAATACTTCTAGCTTATGTTTGAAGTCTTTACGTCCATCTGATTTTCTTAATTCCAAAGGCAGTTTATTATAAAATTTAGTACCCATATTGATAACACTTCTCTTAAATGTTGATGTGTTATGATTTGGAACATTACTATCATCTTTCATTCTAATATTACTTACAGAGCTGAGCCCTTCTTGAGGAGCTGCCAAATCTGCAGCTACTCAAGAATTTCCCAGCATTGTATGGAACCTGAAGGTTCATCACTTTGTTAACAAGAGCCCTCCAGAGCCAGACCAGTCCAATCCATACCATCTCATCCTATCTCTCTTAAGATCCATTTTAATATTGTCTACCCACCTGCACCTTGGTCTTCCCAGTGGTCTCTTTCCTTCTGGCTTTCCCTCCAATATCATACATGCATTCCTCTTCTTCCACATTTGTACTACATGCCCCACCCATCTAATTCTCCTTGACTTGATCATTCTAATCATACTTGCAGAAGAGTACAAGTTATGAAGCTCCTCATTATGCAATTTTCTCCAACCTCCTGTCACTTCATCTCACTTCAGTCCAAATATTTTCCTCAAACATCCCCAGTCTCTGTTCCTCCCTTAATGTCAGACACCAAGTTTCACGCCCTTATAGATCCACAGGCAAAATTATAGGTTTGTATGTTCTAATTTTTATGTTTTTGGACAGTAGACGAGAAGACAAAAGGTTCTGGACTGAATGGTAGCAAGCATTACCCGAGTTCAGTCACCTCTTAATTTCCTCCTGAATCAGGTTTTGATTTGTTACTGGCGTTTCCAAATATCTGAACTGTGCCACATTTTCAAAACACCTGTTTCATATCGATATGTCATGATTTTGCCCTGCATTTTGGTGATGAGACAGCGACATATACTTAGTTTTCCCTGTGTTTACTTCTAGACCAACCTCCTTACTTGCATCAGTTAAAGCTTGTGTGTTTTTCTTCATCTCGGCTACCTTGGTTACGGAAACAGCCACCATACGGGCCCCAACAATTTGCCCGGGTTTGAATTCTGTTAGCTCTGAAATGATGCACTAAAAACTGCACAGAACACTGTCTCGACAGCAAATGAAGCTTGCAGCATATTGCGGAGGTTGTACAGGTAGTGGTATTGGGCAGATAAGACAGTGTCACCTACAAACGTCGTTAAAATAAACACTTCAATTCAGGCATGCATTTCACAAGGTGTTTCCATATTTTTGTTCATCCCCTGTACATCAACTCAATGCAGAAAACTAGACAATTCCAACCCACTACCTTCAGAATTGAATGAGTTTTTGTGAGACTTTAGTCCTAGTGGAGATCTGTATTCATACCAATTTTTGTTGCTTTGTGGTCACTAGAATTTAGACTGAAGACAGATGAAGTGGCAGGAGGTTGGAGAAAACTGCATAATGGGTAGCTTCATAACATGTACTCTTCTCCAAGCATAATTAGAATGATCAAGTCAAGGAGGATGAGATGGGCAGGGCATGTAGCACGAATGGGCGAGAGTGGGAATGCATATAGGATATTGGTGGGAAAGCCAGAAGGAAGGAGACCACTGGGAAGACCTAGACATAGGTGGGTGGACAATTTGCAGACCAGCAATTTAAATATTTAAATCACCCTGAGGACTGGCATTTTTAAACCTACTACCCTAACTTGTGCCCTCTTCACTTTAAAAATTAATATAAAATCTCATAATTAATTTTATGAACTAAAATTTTTGGAGAACACTTTCCAATGTTCATAGAAGTGCTTGAGAGTGTGATATTTCTGGTAACATTCCCCTTTGTGAAGTGGCATTACACAGAACTTGCAAATGTAGACAGTCATACTCATTTTTTTGTGAACTGTGCAAACACTTCATTGCCTAGAAGGATGCTTTCCCTTGGAATGTTCACTCTTCACACTTTTCACGAGGATATGTTTATGCATATCACCCAAGAGTCGCCCAGGGGAGTCCACATGAGGCCTGCGTGGGGTGGGAGTTGATGGGCCCGGTCGCACTAAGTCACTGTCTGACTCTGGTTCTGCCGCCACCATCTGGTCTGTAGCCCAGGCCTTTGCCACATTCATCAGAAATGCTTTTATTTCAATTTCAAATCAGGATTTAGATTTTTGTATACCAAAAATGAAATGAAAATGGCACAGTTTATAAGCCACAAGGCAACTTTCTTTGTCCACTTTATTGTTTTCCTAGGAAGAGAATAATAAGCCAAGTATTGATCGGCTCTGTCAGCTCCCTTCATGAACATATTATACTCAGAAATACAAATAGGCCACTTTACTTGTCCATGCCTCCTTTGAACATCAACCGTGCTCGAATTGTGAATTGTGGAAATCATATTCACAACGCGAGTATCCCTACAGGACTGAAGAAGAATATCCCCTTCCTCCTGAATGTAGTTTCACCACGTTTCAGGGATTTAGATTCCTCTTTCAGATCTGGAGGAAGGCCTCTGCTCACCCTAATTGTTCTACAAACACGTACTTTTCTTGAAAGAAGGTATTCTGCAGTTACCACACTGTTATAATAATTGTCTTGATAGACATGGTAATTTTGATCAAGATAGGGTTAAAAAATGGAAACAATAGTTTCTTGTAATTTTTTGCCTTCACCAGAATAAATATCTAAATTTCCAATATAGCCTGAAGTGCTTTCAGTAACTACACAAACAGGTAGGCCATACTTTCTTGTTCTCCAAGAGATCACTTGGTCTTCAACCGCTTTTGTACTTGATCCATATTGCACTACTAACTTACTGCCAGGTACATACAGCATGAAGACGAACAAAGGCATAATCCTTTGGAGTGGGACAGGAAAACAGCGAGGTCATGTTACTGACTACTAAGCAAACATTCAGGAAGTCTTTTAAGCACCAGTTATGCATCTTTGTGGCACCAGAGCAAGGTGTAGTGTGTTGCAACATAACGTGCCTTAAAATCATAATATTATGCAACCGGTCTGCCACGTTTAAAAGCAAAAAGCATAATATTATGCGACCGGTCCACAAAGTGTTGAAATGGATCTTAGAGATGTAGGATGGGATGGTATGGGTAGGATTGATGTGGCTCAGGACAGGGACCAGTGAAGGGCTCTTGTGAACACAGTAATTAAACTTTGGGTTCCATAAAATGCTGGGAAGCTCTTGAGTAGCTGCACAAATGGCAGCTTCTCAAGAAGGGCTCAGATCCTTGAGTGAGTGAGTGAGAGTGAGAGAATTTGGACAGCAGGCATCCAAACATAAGAAAACTAACTTTTGGGTGCAAGTTCCCTTTCCAGCAACCTGTTACCTGTTTCTGCACTTTATGTTTTCAAGGTCTTGAAATTGGGCCTTGTATGACCTAAAATATGATATTTTAATTATTCTAAATAAATACATGTTGTGCATGTAATGATATTTAAAACGGCACACGGTAGCATAGCTGGTTGAGGAACTATGCTACAAGTTGGGGGGTCGTGGGTTCAATTCCCAATGAGATCATTGAATTTTTTCAATTGATTTAATCCTTCCAGCTGTACTATGGCCCTGGGGTCGACTCAGCCTCTAACAGAAATGAGTACCAGAAATCTTTCTGGGAGTAAAGGGTAGCTGGTGCATAAGGCTGACAACTTCGCTGGTATCTGTGAGCCGATTGTCTAAAAAATGTGGGAATCTGTCGCCAAAGTTGAGATCAATCTGCAAATGTTATTCTTCTCTGACACAGCATGGCTTCATTTGCTGAGATGCACAAATATGCAAAATAATTGCTAATGGAGTTCACAGAATCCACATCTAACACACAAAGTCTTGCTCCATCCAGTCAAAGTTGGTGTTCGGTGTGCTCTAAGTTCAAGAAGGATTGTTGACGTGTCTTTTTTAATGAAACAGTTAATTGTAAAAATATCTACATGTAGAGGAACAGCATTTTCAACGCCTCCTGAGTGATCTGTGAATTGTAAGTACCTGATTCTGAATATTATGGGCCAACAGGCTTATTAATTCGAATGCGGCCGACACCTGGCAATGCACTGGTTGCCGTAAAGTGCAGAACCATGAACCAGTCAATAAAGGTAATAAACTCCCTGTAAATTCTTCTGTTGAAAAGGGGCAAGAATTGTGAATTAGGAACAAGGTATTTTTGTACATAAGAGGATAATATATGCTGTTAAGAGGGTACAGGTTGTTAGAGATAGGGTGTCATACATAATGCTAAGAGGTTGCTGGTATGATGTAGTTCTGAATGTTCATGACTCAATGGGATAAAATTGATGAAGTGAAGGACAGCTTCCATGTGGAACTAATTCAATTTTTTTTTTAAATTGAGTGGAGTCCAGCTGGGTCCACTCGGCACAGCGGCCACTGATTGGCTTATTGTACCTGCCCCGGGTGATTATGATGATGGATAATTTGGTGGAATGAAGATTGGCAGGGGAAACTGAAGTACTCAGAGAAAACCCACCCCAGCGCCACTTTGTCCACTACAAATCCCACTTGACCAGACCCGGGATCGAACCCGGCCCGCTATAATGGGAAGCGAGCGACTAACCACTTGAGCTATGGCGCAGCCAAAATTTGTCAGAAGTGGGATTCGAACCCATGCCCACAGAAGTGGACTGTGACCTGAACGCAGTGCCTTAGACCACTCAGTCATCCTGACTACGTTCCATGTGGAACTAGAACATGCATTTGATAAATTCCCAAAATACCTTATGAAAATAACTTTAGGAGATCTCAGTGTCAAAGTAGGTGGGGAGGATATTTTGAAACCAATAACTGTGAGTTAAGTTTACGCGAAATTAATTATGATAATGGAGTTAGAGCAGTAACCTTTGTCACATCCAAAAATAAGGTTATCAAAAGGACAGTGCTCCCAAATTGTAACATTCATAAATTTACTTGGACATCTCCTGATGGAAAGACTCACGACCAGATAGACCACATTTTGGTAGATGAACGGCTCACAGTGTGCATTAGTTTTCTTCTGAATAAGTGGTCAGTGATTTAGTCTATGCTTGCAGTCTGTTGTGATGCAGTGTCATCTGCATTCTGAGTCACATAGCTTACAGCAGCATTTTTATCTGGGGAATGGTAGGTCTTCATTTGGCAGATCTTGTGGTGAAAACCATGCATGGCCAAATTGTAGCTAAATGTTGATCATCATAATATGGCTTTGCCCAGTCTGTGTTAATCACAGCTTCTATGGAGTGTAATACTTTTCTCTCCTTTCACCTTTGTATTTTTAATTTGTTTGGTGTGATGGTGAATAGCAGAAGCAGCTTCTAACAGAGGTTTGCTAGCAGAATTTCTTTCGTGAGGATGTAAGCTAGTGGTGAGGGAGTGTATCTTGGAACTCTCAAGGATGCCTTTTGGTATGTTGCCTTCATGCCTTGTAATGTTAGGCTGTTTTCTCTGAGACGTTCCCATAGAATTTCCAGGGCATACTTGAAGATTGATATTATTGTAACATGTTTTGCTACTGAAGACGCCGTTCAGATTGTTAATTAGTTTATTTAACAACCTACAAGTCGTAACTACAAACGCTTATAACACTGGTACAGGTTTACACACTTTACAAACCCTATACAGTAGTCTCTTCACACTATCTCCATTATAACACACGTTCAGTTCTTCTTCCTGCAACTGCTTCTATGTTTCAACTGTCTTCTATCTGGCTTCACAATCCACACTCACTACAACTGAACTTGGCGACAGCTACATTTTAACTCTCCCTTTATGCATTTCGGTCTCCCTTATAAGCCCTCATTCGGACAGCAGAAAACCCACATCGCTTCACTGTTGCATAAACACTGTGTTTACAGGCATTGCTGGACAACGCTGCTGAGAGTTGTTTATTGCTGCGTAGCAACCAGTGCGCTTCGGCTCGGCTCACTTCGGCTCTACTCGGCACGGCATGGAGAAACACCGCTTTCCTTACTGTTGTGTAACTTGGCAACCAACCGTTTATCAAGGGTCTGTCTTCATGGTAACTCGTTCCACCTCCCATTGCCCAGCAACTGTTAGACATGTCACATTATTTTTTTAATTGAATAGTTTAGTTGCTGTTTGCAGCAAGATGGTTCTTAGGTTCTGAATTTCTGCCAAAGCACGTATCGCAAATGCCACTTTCTCCCTAATGTACATATTGAAGGTCTTGTCACTGGTCTGAAGTGTGATGTCATTTGTAGCACATCACTTTTAACAATCCTTGACTGTAGTTGATTCTGCCTCTGCTTCACCCTGCTTTTCCTGAAGAATATCGTTTCAGTTTTTTTTATGTTCATATGTAGGCTGTTTTCCCCTGCCCACTGGCCATGAACAAGAAGATGTTCCTCCAGCTTTATAATAACTGCTGCCGATTTCTTTGTGTCTACATTCACATACTAATATGTCAGTTCCATGCCACGCTCTGCTTATATAAGGACATAATCAAATATAGCCCATTTTAGATTTACAGTGTTCAAATGACTTATTTATTTCATATAATATTAACTGCTTCTGAACTGTCAAAATTTTTTCCAAATATGTCCGCAGATATGCTGATATCTTGCTACACAAACTTCTTACAGACCCCTCCCATTCTTATGTCTTGTTCATCATTTATTGCAGTTCTTTGTTCGTTCCCATCATTTTCACTGTCACTGTCACTGTCACTAAATGGTTGAGATGTCATGTCCAGATTAGAGTCTGAGTCATCAGCTGCATGATAACTAAGTTCGTTGGTACATAAACAGAAAGGTCATATATTTCACCATAGCTTGGTTCAAACACCATCTCAATAGGGTATTTTGTTCCTCAGCCAGAGGGCAGAGAAATTAAGCTTGCAGTAGAAAGCACAGTGTATGTAAAACTGCAAATATGACATTTAAGTACCTGACATACGGTGTATATGAAATCATGCTGTAGGATGAAGAGCTATTTCTATAAAGTTTTAGCTACTATATTCTGTGATGTGACAAGGTGAGCAGCCATATCCGAAGCAAAGATATATCTGATATAGGATGCATTTTGTTTCAGGTTTCATAGAATTCCCTGAAATTCCTGATGATGATGACTCTTGGTAGTAACTCACAGTACTACTGAAGTGGCTTACAATGTCTGCCTCCAGAGTAAGCGAGGACGACCCAGATAATGGGAACAAACCACATTCTGATACCACTGAGAACACCCTCCAGTTAAGTAAGAAGCGGATTTCTGCGTTAGATGTAGGAGGGCAGCAGCCTAAGGGATTCAACGTTTTTGTTTTGTCACCTAATAAATTGAAAGACATCGGCTTGGTTGTGAAAATGAACAATGGGAGACCCATTATCATGCATGAGAATAAAGATGGCAGTACAGGCAAGGTTGTATCGACTAGTCAGTTGGTGCCATTGTTACAGACTCAGAAAATTAACCTTGAAACAGTGGTTCCAGACCGGATGAATGCAACTGATTCAGGGCTGCATGAGGAAGCGGCGGGAATTTCTGCCAAGTCCCAGTCACAGAGTATGTCTACAGGGCTCAAGAGGAAGAGACTTGAGGAGAATGATGCAAATATGCAGAAGGGACTGTATAAGGTGAGATTGCTTGTGAACACATTCAGACCCATCAGGAAAGTTCTTTGTCCTTTGTGTTGCTCAGACTGTTTTCATTCAATGTCTGAGGATTACAGAGGGTCATTGGTGTCTGTGACATAACCTAAAGGAAAAACTTTGAAGTCCTATGTAATGTTGGAAATTTCCCAGCACACACACACACCTAATGGAAGGAATGTTACAGTGGATGTTCTCAATTTGTAGGTGTGAAAGTGTTGCTTCTCATACCAAACTCTGCATACAGCATGGTGTTAGGGGATATAAGTATGTAAGGAAGTCAAAAGTTATCCGCACTCTTGTTTTTTCCAATTTATATACACAAAAGTAAGGGTTGAACAAATACATCATTTTTCTACATAGTCTCCTTTTTTCGATGCACTTGGTCCAGCGATCCACAAGCTTGCGTATTCCCTCCAAAAAGAAGGTTTTTGGTTGGTCGCACAACCATTTATGCACCGCTTCTCGCACTTCTTTGTCCGTAGAAAATCAAAAACCTCGTAAAGCATCTTTGAGCAGTCCAAAGAGATGATAGTCGGAAGGGGCAAGATCTGGGCTGTAGGCAGGGTGTTCCAGCACCTCAAAACCCAATTGGTTAATGTTTTCAATGGTCTGGCCAACCATGTGTGGGCGTGCATTCGCATGCAACAACAACAACACTTTCTTTGACAATAGGCCTCAGCGTTTGGTGCGAATTTGCTGGCTTCAGATTGTTGGCCAGCAAATCACTATATCTTGCACTGTTGATTGTACACACTTTTTCCAGGTATTCTTCCAGTATAGGCCCTTTTGAGTCCAAAAAAATGGTTAGCATCACCTTTCCTGCAGAAGATTGGGTCTTTAATTTCTTCTTCATTGGCAAGCTTGGGTGTTTCCACGCTATACTCTGGCTTTTGGATTCTGGCTCATAGCGATGGACCCACCGATGAATTTGNTATTTGTCTATACAATAATATTCTGCTATGTGTTTCGTTTAAACATATTTTAATCAGCCTAACTAGTTTCATGGGTACCCAAAACTCTATAAGAATATTGTACAACACATTCCTCCTTTTTTATTGCTAGTGGGGTGAGACTAAGTCCCTTGCACTGCGGCCTCTTCTGGCCTATTGTACCAGCCCCAGATGATATGTGAGGGTGATTGTGAAGCAATTGGTGGAATGAAGATTGGCAAGGGAAACCAAAGTACTAGGAAAAACTTTCCCCTGCGCCACTTTGTCCACCACAAATCCCACTTGACCAGACCCAGGATCAAACCCAGGCCACCACGGTGGGAAGCCAGCGACTAACCACTTGAGTTATGGTGCAACCTTTGTTCCTCCTTGGTGCATGCTGCTAGTGGAGTGGCCATGTTTACACTGTCACAGCATCAAGGAAAATTATGCGATCTAGGTCAAACTTCGATCACGTGACCACAGTAGTACCAACTCTAAGCATGCATGCACAGAAGGCAGTGTGACAAACCTAAAGATGTGTTGTGGCGAAAGTGCGGATAATTTCTGACTTTCCCTCATAGTTTCCCATTTCAGGCAGGTTTCTGTTTAAAATTGGCCGTCAACACTTATACAAGTTGTAAATGTGTCTGGCCTAAACTGTTATCACCAAAAGATTACTTCATTATATGGTGCGTTTCTGCTGCAGTTTTCCCAAGTTTAAAATAAAACTTTATACAGACATGCTGCTCTCTCGCAAAATCGCAAACTCACGGAAACGCAACAATGGAAATACGTTCACCAACAATAAACTCAACCACTCAACTCGACACCGCTTGCCACACTGATTCAAGAAGGGTGTGTGGAGAAACACCTAGTGGTATTTCGGTGTACTCATAACCATTCACGCACAAAATTCAAATTTCGGGAACTTTTGGATTGCACCACGTACTTATTGCCATTGCTTTTCAACGTTACTTAAGAATATGCCATTAAGAAGACCCTAGAAAACCAGATGGGTCTGAAATTAAATGAGATGCATAAGCTGCTGATCTGTGCTGATAGTTTAAATCTGTTGGGAAATAACATAAATATTGTTGTGTTGATTGTTGTCATAATGCCTGTATATATAAAAGTTGAGATAGGCGAATAAATAACAGTGTTATTCAACCCATTTGTAGGCAGTGGGTTGGTTTGAGAGAAATAGGATGGGGTGGTATGGTCTGGATTGATCTGTCTCAGAATAGAGACCAGTGGGGTCTGTTGTGACAGTGAAAAACCATCGGGTTTTGTAAAATGTTGGGGAAACTTTTTGGTAGCTGAGCTACAGGCAGTTTCTCAAGAAAGGCTCAGCTCCATGAAGTTAGTAAGTTTGTTTGTTTGTTTGTTTGTTTGATTATTGTGAGAGGGGATGTCATTTCAGCAACTGAAGAGTGACAGTGCATCAGAAGACTGGAGTACAGGCAGCAGTAGTGGCAAGGATGAAGCAGCCATGTCTGTTGCCACTGTTCCAAATTCAGCGGAGTGGTAAGTATTGTAATCCCATTTATTCCTGTTGGAGCTCCTAGCTCCATTATGAGCTAGGAAATGCGGCTAATGGACAGTCATTTCGTGCCATATCAGAAGTGTGTTTCATGTAAGAACTTCATAGATTTGGCTGCTGTAAGTAATTTGGCTTCATATACTTGTCATTGCAGTAGTGTCAAAATGTGACAGTAAAGTGGTACTTGTTACTTTCATAAAACTATAGCAGGTTTGTAATTATTGTGGGATATCAGTATTCTTCGCATCTCATTCAGTCCAGTGATTGAGACTGGCTCTCTCTAACGGGCCCAACTGAGTAGGTCTATCCTGCCCCATAGTCTCCGAAACGTTGTGGTATTTTGTCTTATATATGTGTGTGTGTATATATATATATATATATACCAGACGATGGATAGAGTCCAAAACAAGCCTAATAGTTCTGTACAGCATACACCATCCACCATCCTTTCAAGTCAAAAAGGATGATAATTAGGAAGCTTGCCATTAGGCAGCACAACTTACCCAACATTGCTAAGATGTCGAGTTGGCATGCTATTTCAGAAAGTCTGAGGTTCTTTGAGCAGGCCATGTACATCAGCTGATGTGTGGTGGTGTGTTGTTGCGATTAGGTGAGGATGCTTATTCCTTGCCCCATTGTTGGCATGCCCAGTGTTTCTTAAACATAAATTGTTTTTTGAATATATGTTGTCTTGTGCTTTTCTGCTTGATGTGAGAAAAAGGATGCAGTAAAGTTATTGCTGTTTAGGTGGCACTCTGAGACACGGCGGCATTTACATCGGTTTTCTGTACATTGGCAGCTTGCACTGGCAGAGATAGGGCACATCAACTGTCCTATGAGGGAGTGCAACTATATCAGTCTGTCAGAAGATGACATGGTCAGGCACTATTTATTTTGTGATGGGGTAAGTTGCCATGGAAATGGAGCAACAGTACAAAGGGATTTAGCATGTGCATTGGTGTGTTGAATGTTAAGGCTGTATCAATCTGAAGCCCAGTAGTTGATACGTTGTCATTATATACAGTGGAACACCCATTTTATATTTCTCAGTTTATGGTTTTTCATTATTTAGTGACCAGTTTCAATGATCAAAGTCAATCTCAGTCTTTTTCTATTTAAGATTATCCTGAACTTAATGTTAAAATTCACTGCTCGCCAGAAACGCCTTAAATGGAGGTTTCACTGTAATGGGCCATTACAAAGTGGCTGAATGTTTGGTTCATTCAACTTCCTGGACTTCCCATGGTGCCTGGTATTCTTCTTATCTTTTGTGGGGAATGTAATTCAGAAACACACTTGGCTTTTATAGATACAGTGAAAGTTACTGATAAACCCAGTAGAATAAAACTTTAGAAAATTATAAAAGGGAAAGATAATCCTTAATGGTCGATAATAAATGTAAACCTGTGTAATATTTTAAGAGAACAAATGGACAGTTACACAACAATTTGAACTACACATGTGTTAACAGTTTTCATGATTTTGCATTCACATTGCCCCCCCCCTTGCAGACACACATGGCATAAGACTCAAAATTATGTTCCTTATGTTCCATTAAATATCCAACATTCAAATATCAGTTTACCCATTGGCTTAGGGTGATGGAACATTCCATAAAACACATAGTGGAATTAGCACTGAATCATGGAACCATTCTGTCTTCTGAGTTAGTACATAATTTTGACTTTTCCTCAGAAATGTTCAGTTTTGGGCTGTCCTGGAATGCCACAGTAATATACTTCTGCATCATTGTGTCAGTGAAATATTATTTTTTCATTATTTGATGATGTTTCCAGAAATAGTCCCAACCCCCGTCTTACACCTGAAAAGCTCAAACCCAATGGGTCATTGTTGTAACCATGGAAATTTGGAGTTCCCTGCAAGCAGGTGCTGTGATAGTACGGTGAGACCACAATGGAATGAGTGTGGCTTGTAATGAGGACTTAATTCTAGTGGCAAAAGCCATTGGCTCCATCAGTTCCTTAACCGTTCAGCGTGGTTTGATGTGTATGTTTCGTCAGGTATTTAAATCGTCTGCGGGGGTTCGACGTCTATGTTTCATCCAGCTGCACGCCTGTGTTATAACGCCCATAATAATTGATGGTTTTGCTGTAGATTGTTAGATTTTTCGCTGGCCTGTTATCAGTAGAACAGAGTATAATAAGCCACGAGTTTAGCTGCGCTAAGTCATCGTTACATATGCCTGTCTTGCAGCAAAGTTCCTGTTGCTCTTGCGAGCGGTTTCCTCGTTCAAGCTGTTATGAATGGCGTGTTTTCTTTGCTATGAAGTTATAAACAGAGAGACGTGATATGTGCTGTGTTTATAATATCATATTGCCCTGAGCTGGCCACACTAACACACTCAATTGGAATTCTTAGAAGAGGGATGTCCAAAAATTTATTCTTGCAAGATCGATTGATTTCGCACAGTACATAGCACCCAGTTCTTAGAAAAA